TGACTTGAACTCTGTGAAGCATTTATTTGGGCTACAATTTCTGAGGTTGGTAACTCTAATGAACTTATCTTCTGCAGCAGAGGTAACTCTGGGTCTTCCATTCTTGTGGCGGTCCTCATGAGAGCCAGTTTCATCATAGTGCTTGGTGGTTTTTGCGATTGCACTTGAAGACACTTTCAAAGTTCTTTAAATGTTCCGTATTGACTGACCTTCATGTCTTAAAGTAATGATGGACTGTCGTTTCTCTTTGCTTATTTGAGCTGTTCTTGCCATAATATGGACTTGGTCTTTTACCAAATAGGGTTATCTTCTATATACCACCCCTACCTTGTCACAACAGAACTGATTGGCTCAAACGCATTAAGAAGGAAAAAAATCCACAAATTAACTTTTAAGAAGGCACACCTGTTAATTGAAATGCATTCCAGGTGACTACCTCATGAAGCTGGTTGAGAGAATGCCAAGAGTGTGCAAATCTGTCATCAAGGCAAAGGGTGGCTATTTGTTTAACACTCATCAAGAGAACATCCCTGGTCATCCCTACTGCCTCTGATCGGGCTGACTCACTAAACACATGCTTACTTTATAAATTATGTCTGAATGTTGGAGTGTGCCCCTGGCTATCCGTAAATAAAAAAAACAAGAAAATCATGCCATCTGGTTTGCTTAATATACGGAATGTGAAATGATTTTTACTTTTGATACTTAAGTATATTTTATTTATTTGTGTCATTTAAATGTGCCATTAAGATGTGGCCTTCTATTTTTTTTTGTGTGACTAAATAATCAAATAATCAATAATTGCTCAACGAGTCTGTGAAAGGTCTGTGCACGGCCCTGTGAGGGATGCTGGCATATCTGACCCTGGATCAGTGGTTGGAGGCAATTTATACCTATACAATTTGCAGAGTTGTGACTGGAGGGCAATCTTTGTACACTTAAAAGGATACTTCAGGATTTTAGCAATGAAGCCCTTTATCTGTTTCCCCAGACTCAGAAGAACTCATGGATACCATTTGTACTTCTCTGCATCCAGTATAAAGGAACTTAGAGGTACTGTAGTTTCTCGAGCCAATGCTAACCAGCATTAGCACAATGACTGGAAGTCAATGGTATCTACTAGCATGTTAGCTGTTACCATAGACTTCCAGTCATTGTGCTAATGCTAGTTAGCAATTGCGCTAACGCTAGTTAGCAACTTCCTTCAAACTGCACGCAGAGACAACATCTTTATCCACTATTTTATCTGACTCTGGGGAAGTAGATTGCCAAAGTAAAATGATTTGTTGTATATTATTACACTACTGTTGGTGTGTGTGTGTGTGTGTGTGTGTGTGTGTGTGTGTGTGTGTGTGTGTGTGTGTGTGTGTGTGTGTGTGTGTGTGAGAGTTAAATACATCTATGGAATCTTGAGTTTGATTGTTTTGTTACCAGAGATGTACATACCACTGTCTTATTGTATGTCTTCTTTAGATAATGACAATGTTGAACCGTCTCATTATTTTCAGAGCTTCATAACACACCACACTATTAGCTGTTTCAGTCTCAATGGACAGTTTAGGAATAGGCTGTAGTTACATAATTTGCCTGGCTTTCACTGTGAATTAAGCAAAATGATCACTAAGAACACAAAGATGCATAGCAATGTGATTTGTATTGTCTCTGTACAAAATATACACATCTTACATATGCAATGCAACCAGTTGAGGCTTGCTAACTAACTACACACAAAAAATATATACACATCTTACATATGCAATGCAACCAGTTGAGGCTAACTAACTAACTACACACAGTCAGTAAAAATGGGTTAGTAGTATAGATGGGTTTCACTGGTGGTCAGTGCATGAAATCACCTACGGCACCTGCAAGCGGACAATCAGAGCCAAACACCCCCCCCCCCCCCCCCCCCCCCCCCCCCCCCAAAACAAAAGACATTGTGAAAACATATTCAAGTGGATTAAATGTAGATGTACAGTAATCAGTAGTTACAAATACTGGATTGGAGTTGGAAGAAGGTGCATGTTATTACAACAAAGGTGTTAACCGATTAATTATACACTCCAGGTAGAAGTTGGCCCAGCGATAGTTTAACAAATTACAAAATGACATATCCCTGTAAGCAGTCTATGGACAAGGTGTGACAGCAATGAATGATTTGGCTTCGTTTCCCTGGCACTGTTTCCAAATTCTAGCATTTTAGCATTTGTGGCACAAACCCAATGCAAGTCAATGGCACCTCTATTAGCATTTTTGCGCTTCATGTCCAAATAAGTGACTTAAGCCTCGTTTACACCTTGTGCTAACATGTGTGTTTTGTGATCTGATCTATATGATCCAATCACTATCTGATCAATGTTTGTCACATCTACACATTGTTTTAAAATGTCTCTTATCCGTCCAATGTGTCTGCATTGTGACAAGATTAGCTGGTGCCTCCCTCTATGCAAATGATTCTTTCAAAATAATATGATTTTGTTCGTTTTAAGACATTTAATGATGCCATAAGTCAATGGTGCAACCTGTCAATGACTTTAGAGTCCGGTCAAATTATGATTTAAATTATTTGACCATCTGTTTACACTTGATTGATATCCAGACACAATGTCTGCCTGACTACCTCCTGTCATGTCTCCTCCCGTTGCTCCCCTCCGGCGCTCTGATTTGCCGGTCTACTGAGCCACCGGTCTGAATGCACCCTAATCACCTCCAGCGCACCTGCACCTCATCATCTCATCACCACCCCTATATAGCACTGGACTGTTCAGTGTTGTCGTGTACTCTCTCTTTGTCGTTCTCTTGCGCAGTGTTAAGTAAACCTTTACGTTGTTGATTCCTACGTCTTTGTATCCTCAGTACTCGTCACACCTCCAGAGGTGGTCAGGAAGATCTGATCACAATCAGATCACGATGTGTAATTTAATCATCTACACCCTGTCTAAAAATGTGGGCACAATCAGAATGTGGACAGGATCAGGACAAAGGAGGCATGTTAGCACCAGGTATAAATAGGGCTTAGTTGAACTACACAATCAAAATGAGACACTTTAGGTTGATTTGGATTTGCTAATATAAGTACCATTGACTTGCATTGGATTTGTGCTACAATGTCAGCATTTGGAAACAATGGTGCAATGCCAGGTAAACAAAACCAAAGCATGGATTGTTGTCATACCTTGTCAATAGACTGCTTACAGGGTAAGGAAACCAAAATGAAATGTTGTAATTTGGGTGAACTCTCTCTTTAACCAGAGTCCTAGGATCAGTTATCCTACTCAATCATAACCTTAATCAGTATTTGGCTGTAGGAATATCTGACCCTGGACCAGTTGGTTAAGGGCAACTTCTATCTACTCTCAGGAACAGGTAAAAGGGGGTAGAATATGGACGTTATTGCTTATGCCACTTGTAGGGCTGAGAGGGATGAAGTAATTTAATGAGACAAATAAGAAGTAGTTGATGGAGACAGGTAATGTTATCTTACAAAAGATAAACATTCTCTTCAGAAACACAAAGGCATTCCACACCATTTCAAACAGCCTTTTTTAATCCCCAGTTCGAAACTTGAAGTTGGCAAAGAATTGGGAAACTACTATTCAGTTGACAAATCACTCTCTTACACAGTGACACACACACACACACAACCCCACACCCATACACACAACATTCACATTCTATCCCTTTCCACTCCAATCTCTCTTTATCTCTTTCTCCACTTCCTCCTCTCCTCCCACTCTCTCTCACATTTCACACATGTGTCTATTTATAGCCTGATATAACTGCAGGTGGCTTTAAATTCTTCTTCAGTTTGTGTCTGACTCTTTGGTAGAAACAGTACTGGTGTCCTCACACCCACCTACCCACCCACCTTCATGCACACGCACACACAAACACGCGCACACACCCACTACAACACACATGCCTGACTTTGTGTACGTAGACATGAAACAAGAGGCTTAATTTGGATACTATAGCGGGTGGAATTGTTCTTGACATGTTGCTGCTCTTTCATGGTCGATCAAAACAGAAATGCTTCCAGTTTCAGTTGCATGACCAGTATAATGAAAAATAGGCATAATATAATGTATTACAGTATTTGATAAGCCAGACATTTCCATTTGAACTCCAATTCCCATGCTTCACTGCATCAGTTAGTCACCTACAGTAAGAAGTCTACTGGAGCCTAGAAGGTCCAAGCAGCATGTTCATCAATACAGCCCCACATTACTGTCTAGTAGTTCTTGACCGCAGGGTTATTGGAAGAGGTACAACAGTCAGCATAAGTTAGTGTTAGTACAAAGGTGGCCTCATATGGGTTGAAATTTGAATGGATTCCTACCAGAGACTGTAATGACAAGTAAGCACACGTATGCGCACACACACAGAGCGAGGCACCTGTGGATGACTCTAGCAACAGCAGACAGACAGACAAACAGACAGGCTTTGTACAGTATTTCTGTATATACGTACAGGTTATTATTAGTGACATCATCATGCGATATTCAAATCAGTCCCTTATTGAAAACAACTCTGTCTTCTATTCGCAAGAAGTCTCATCCTTCAGATCCTCAGTCCCTTCAGTTCCATTGTCCCTTTTCCAGGTGTCCTTTCCTCCTTTGTCCACTAAGTGGCGCTAGTTACCTTTGTTTTAATGACAGAGATGTCAGTGGTCCTGCTGCTCTGTAGAAGTTGCCTCTAGCCACAGATCTAGGATCAGCTTAACCACTCCTGACCCTAACCTTAACCATTAGGTTGGGACATGCAAAACTGACCTTAAATCAGTGAGTATGGGGGACTTTATCCTACGTTGAGTCCAGGCTGCAGGCTACAGAAGCTTTCTCAGAAACAGGAGTGTTAAAAAATTAAATTGTTAACGAAACGGGTGTTTTCACCAAGCAAAGCGCTCCAAATGTTGCAGATAGACGTAACGAATAGAGCTGACACGATTGACTCCCTATTACACAGAACAGGCAATCATATTTGTTCTACACAACACATTTCTATTTGAATGTTCTGTAACGTTCCTCACTGCTGAACTGGTCCTTGATGTGGTTGTGGGTGTGGATCACCAGCCCCTCTCTTCTCTGTGTCTCTGGGAGAGATGAAGGGCTGGAGAAGAGGAGGCACCCACTTTTGGCTTGGAGTGGGGGTGGAGAGAAATGCATGCACACACGCACACACACACACACACAGGCACAAACACACACACACAAATACATGTGCAGTGGAGGCTGCTGAGGGGAGGACGACTCATAATAATGGCCGCTAAGGAGCAAATGTAATAGCATCAAACAGAAGGAAACCATGTGTTTGATGTATTTGATACCATTCCACTTATTCCGCTCCAGCCATCACCACAAGCCTGTCCTCCTGTGGTACACGCTCACACACACACCTCCCCTGTCCTCCAGCCACTTTCCTATGTCAGAGGCTCCTAGATGACGTTGTCGAACAGCTGCATGGACTGCATGATATTCTCATCCTGAAGAGAGAGAGGGGGGGGATAGAGAGAGAAAAGGAGAGAGATAGAAATGTTAGGCATAGCGAGAGACAACAGGGATAGCACGTTTCTAGAGGCACAATGAATCCCTGTTTGTTTCAGCTTTCTTTCTTAAGGGAGTCTGACTCCCTAAAACAGAGATGACAGTAGAGGTGACCCTCAGAAGAGTCAGCTTAGACATTTTCCTCTCTCTCTCTCTCTCTCTCTCTCTCTCTCTCTCTCCTCTCTCATCTCTCTCCTCTCTCTCTCCTCTCTCTCTGCCTCTCGCTCTCTCTCCTCTCTCCCTCTCCATCTCCTCTCTTCGTCTCTTCTCCTCCTCATCTCTCTCTCTCCCTCCCTCTCCCTCTCTTCCCTCTCCCCATCTCCTATCGCATCCCCTCTGACTCCCGCTCTATCTCAATCTCTCTCTCTCTCTCTCTGTGTATTTAAAGTGCATTTTACATGGGTCACAACCCAAAAAGGGAACAAAACAATGTTGGAAAATGGGTGAAAAGGGAATATAAAATGTGCAAGCAGTAACGGTCCTAAAACCAAACCTTGGGGAATGCCCCAATTAACCTTAGTGAGATCTGAGGATTCAGCGGTCAGTTACACAAACGGAACCTGTTTTACAAACAAGAACTCTCACACACCACACATACAACCTACCTTTTGGCATGACTCGATGAACTCATCAATAGTGACCACCCCATCATTATTACGATCCATTTTCTAGAAGGGAGAAAGGGGAGGAAAAGGGGACACATGTCATTCAGTGCCCCTGGAGCAGTTTGGGGATTGAGTACCTTGCTCAAGGGCTTGCTCTAAAGTATTGGGTTTGATTAATAGAAATGGTATGTTGACCTGGAAAAAGCTCTCCACGTGTTCTCTGGGTGCCTCGTCCTGCATACAGGGGTATGTGTACTTCCCCATCATATCATAGATAGACTTCATTATATCCATCATCTCCTACAGAGAGAGAGAGAGAGAGAGAGAGAGAGAGAGAGAGAGAGAGAGAGAGAGAGATGACACAGGGTATACCCAGCTAGCATTTGGTTCCTTGGAAGTTGGGGGAATGTATATTTTTGGTTTCACATTGGTTGTGGGAACGAAGCCATACGTTTCCTGATGGGTAAAACTGAACGTTTTTTAAACGTTCTGAGGACAGAAATGAAAATAGTTTTACAGGTAGGTTCTGAGAACATTTAAAAATATATATATTGCGTAGTAGAACTGCATAAGTGTTGCTCTCCACTTTTTGAAATCAGTGGAATTAGAGTATGATAGCTAAGGAGATGGAGAAAACACCTGTCTCCGGATTACATCTTCAAACTAAGGGCAACCATGGCATCCGTGACAGAGAGGGCGAAGCATCCATCCATGTATACGGGTAAGATAGTCTAGCTAGCTACATTTTCAGATATTACACATTCCTAATTTTGTCAGAAAGTCGTTTTCATTTCAAGTTAAAGTGTACTGTTAGCTAGCTAGCTAACATTAGCTGGCTGGCTCGCTAGCTAACATTACGTGTATGATCTGTGTAGTAATATTATTCGTATCTCAGAGCCATTTGCTTTGATAGTTATAGCCTAATTTTAGCTAGCTAACATTGAACCTGGTTGGTTTGCTACCTGCAGATTCATGCAGGGTAGTAACATCATGTGTTGGGATTATGGTTCATTGTTTAGCTAGCTAGCTAGCTACATGTCTTAACAAAAGACTCCACTATGCAAGTAACCATTTCAATAGAATGTTAATGATTTCACTGTGACAACTGTTGATAGACGTAGCTGGTAAATTCGCTCTGGCTATCTACTCCGATTTCAGAGCACTCTCGTCTGAGAGTTGAATATGGCCGGTGTCAGTAAACGTTGGCAAAAAAGCGTAAATTGTTGCAAGCAGCACAGTTGCAGTCACCAACGCTCTGGATAACATAAAAACAGCCTAACCAGCTCTGCTAGGGTGAGTAAAATGGTCAGAGTGAGCTGTTCTCTCATTTGTGTCTGGAAGTATCTAGCAAGCTAGCCAACGTTAGCCAGTTAGCTTGGGTGCTTGACTGCTGTTAGGACAGAACGGTCACACATGACTTTAAACAGAACCATGAGAAAACCTGTAGGAAACATTATGCTGAAGTACTGAAATTGCCACAGCAGACTGTTCCCAATGCCAAACCAGTTGGAGAACGTTCCTAGAACATTACCAAAATGTAAATGAAATGTAACCATATTTGAACTTTTAGGAATTGTTCTGTTAAAGTAATGAAATACCAAGAAAATAATGTGTGTTTTTGTTAAGTTTCGTAAATGTGCTGAGAATGTTCCAAAATCCAATCAACTATCCTGCACCATTCCCAGAAAATTGTGGGAAGGTTGTATGCAAAATAACCATAGGACAGCCACGCTCTCACCAAGCTCTAAGAAAACATAAGGTTCTCAGAACGTTATGTGCTAGCTGGGTACTGTCACAGCACAAGATCAGTCAATCAAGCTCCAATCAGAGATTGAGGGTCAACTTGAGAACTGTCAACTTTAGAATATACTTTAGATTTATAACATGGATAGACAGCTCAGAACTTAGAAGAGGAGACTCAGATTTCAGAATGGAGAGGTACAGTCTACACACCCCTTGCACAGTCTTCACATTTTACTGCCTTAACATTTTTACGGATCTACACAACCTACACCACATTTTTAAAGTGAAAGTAAATTATAGAACATTTACTCTTAGGGTGCCATTGTTTCTGTCAAAATTGCTCAAGCTCAATAACTTTGGTTGGGAATCTTTGATGAACAGCAATATTCAAACCTTGTCTCTGATTTTCAAGGAAATTTAAGTCAGGACTGAGACTGGACCACTCAGGATCACTCAACACCTCTTGGAAAGATATTCTGGTGTGTCGTTGGCATGAAAGTTTTTTCATTGACCCGCTGAAAAATACAACTCTATCCCAGGGTAAGTTTCCAGAAGACTGAGCCGTTTTTCCCTCTCACTTTATAGCTGGGCTTGCTCCATCATTTTTCTTTTGATCCTGACAAACTCCCTAGTCTCTGCCGGTGACAAGCACACCCATAATATGATGCTGCCACCACAATATTTGAAAATACTGAGTATTTGACCTATTGGATGTATTGAATTTGACCTCAACTATTTAGGCTAAAAAGTGTATTTCTTTGGTGTGTTGTCTTGCAGTATTACTCAATGGCTTTATTGCAAAGAGAATGGATGATTTGAAGCAGATCTTTTTTAACATCCTTCTTTTCAAGCTGTCATACAGGCCAGTAATGTTGTTGATCCTCTGTATTTTTCAAGTATTGTATATGTGTGAGTGTGTGTGTGTGCATCCGTGTGTATGCATCTGTGTCTTACCTCTTTGGTGATGCAGCCGTCTTTGTTCAGGTCGTACAGGTTGAAGGCCCAGTTTAGCCGGTCATTTATCGTTCCTCTCAGAATGATAGACAGACCAAACACAAAGTCCTGAGAAAAGAGAGAAAGACAAAGATATTGAGAGAGAGAGAAAGAGAGAGAGAGCGATTTAACATTTTTGTATCCATTCTTCTCCACCCGTCATACTCACCAGCGTTCAACATTTACACAGCTAGCACATTTGGTTCCTTGGAAATTGTGGGAACGTATGTTTTTGGTTTCACATTGGTTGTGGGAATGAAGCTATATGCTTCCTGACCGGTAAAACAGAACATTTTGGAACGTTCTGAGAACAGAAGTAAAATGTGTTGCCCATCCCTGGGCTATAGCATCAGCAAAGAAGATGATGTGGCTCACTGCAATACACTATATGCTCTCCAGTGTGTCTATCAACAATGTTCTGACCCTTATGTGTGTGTGTGTGTGTGTGTGAGTGTGTGTGTGTGTGTGTGTGTGTGTGTGTGTGTGTGTGTGTGTGTGTGTGTTGAAAGGAGAAGAAAGGCATATATTCTATTTGTATACATATTCAGCTGCAGCTGCATATACAGTATACAGACAGATATAGGTTTTCCTCACTCCCTTAGGAAGTAGACAATAGTAAACAATGATCTTACCTCGAAACTAACTGATCCATTCTTGTTAGTGTCAAAGGCCTCAAACAAGAAATGTGCATATGCACCCGAATCTGAACGGACAGAGATGTACAGAATGTAGCATTGAAATGTGTCTGGGACAACAACATACTAAAAATTCCTCAAACAAGTGGGAAATATATGTTTAGAACAATACCTGATCAAATACGTTGTTAGTACATACATGTAATTTCAGACAACACACTTTAGTTAGATATATCTTCAACCTAAATCTGATTTCAAACACGGCCTTGTAAGTGTCCTGCTGTAAGTAGTACAGACATGATGGTAAAACATATATTCTATGGCACATCACATAAACACAAAAATCACTGGTCTTAAATGTTGGTATTCTTGTTAAATGTTTCAGTCACTTTGGGGAGTAACATATCTTTAAAATACTAGGTTTGGGTTTATGGTTAAAGGTCAGGGGACAAAGCTTTAACTGTCATTGACTCACCTCCCTGGGGGAAGAATGTGGAGTAGATGGTTTTAAAGGTCTCCTCATTCACCACTCCACTAGGACACTCCTACCAACAACAACACAGAAAGAACAGGATCAGTCAGAAGGCAAATCTTCTGCCATCCATATACTTTTACTATTATACATCAAAACAGCTTAGCTTCAGGAAAAGTTATTGAAAGAGGGAGACATTTTTTGCAGTTTTAAAGCTAATTTCCTGCAATTCTACACATTTTGTCATGACTTATGCCAGGTTAATATGATATATGAGTGAGAGTGACTAACACAATCAATGGGGGTTTCCTGGAGGTTAAATCAAATCAAATGACATTTTATTGGTCGCATACACATATTTAGCAGATGTTATTGCGGGTGTAGCGAAATGCTTGTGTTCCTAGCTCCAACAGTGCAACAATATCTAACAATACACAGCAATACACACAAATCTAAAAGTAAAATAATGGAATTAAGAAATATATAAATATTACGATAAGCAATGTCGGAGTCCAGAGTACAGTATATATATACAGTACCATTCAAAAGTTTGGACAGTTGATTGTTGAAGTTGATTTGTGGAATTTCTTTCCTTCTTAATGCGTTTGAACCAATCAGTTGTGTTGTGACAAGGTAGGGGGGTATAGAGAAGATAGCCCTATTTGGTAAAAGACAAGTCCATATTATGGCAAGAACAGCTCAAATAAGCAAAGCGAAACGACAGTCCATCATTACTTTAAGACATGAAGGTCAGTCAATCTGGAACATTTCAAGAACATTGAAAGTTTCTTCAAGTGCAGTCGCAAAAACCATCAAGCGGTATGATGAAACTGGCACTCATGAGGACCGCCACAGGAATGGAAATCCCAGAGTTACCTCTGCTGCAGAGGATAAGTTCTGAGTTACCAGCCTCAGAAATTGCAGCCCAAATAAATGCTTCACAGAGTTCAAGTAACAGACAAATCTCAACATCAACTGTTCAGAGGAGACTATGTGACTCAGGCCTTTATGGTCGAATTGCTGCAAAGAAACCACTACTAAAGGACACCAATAAGAGGAAGAGACTTGCTTGGGCCAAGAAACACGAGCAATGGACATTAGACCGGTGGAAATGTGTCCTTTGGTCTGGAGTCCAAATTTGAGATTTTTGGTTCCAAATAAAATAACATTTGATTTGTCACATGCGCCGAATACAACAGGTGTAGACCTTACAGTGAAATGTTTACTTACAAGCCCTTAACCAACAATGCAGTTTTAAGAAAGAATACCAAAAAAAATCACAAAAAAATAAATAAGAAAAGAATAAGAAAGAGTAGCAGTAAAAATAACAATAGCGATACCTGTACCGAGTCAATGTGCGGGGGCACCGGTTTGTCGAGGTAATTGGGTAATATGTACATGTAAGTAGAGTTATTAAAGTGACTATGCATAGATAATAAACAGAGAGTAGCAGCAGCGTAAAATAGGGTGGGGGGGGGGGGGGGGGGGGCAATGCAAATAGTCTGGGTAGCCATTTGATTAGATATTCAGGAGTCTTACGGCTTGGGGGTAGAAGCTGTTTAGAAGCCTCTTGGACCTAGACTTGGCGCTCCGGTACCGCTTGCCGTGCGGTAGCAGAGAGAAAGAAGTATATGACTAGGGTGGCTGGAGTCTTTGACAATTTTTAGGGCCTTCCTCTGACACTGCCTGGTATAGAGGTCCTGGATGGCAGGAAGCTTGGCCCCAGTGATGTACTGGGCCGTACGCACTACACTCTGTAGTGCCTTGCGGTCGGAGGCCGAGCAGTTGCCATACCAGGCAGTGATGCAACCAACCAGGATGCTCTCGATGGTGCAGCTGTAGAACCTTTTGAGGATCTGAGGACCCATGCCATATCTTTTCAGTCTCCTTAGGGGGAGTAGGTTTTGTCGTGCCCTCTTCACGACTGTCTTGGTGTGCTTGGACAATGTTAGCTTGTTGGTGATGTAGACAACAAGGAACTTGAAGCTCTCAACCTGCTCCACTACAGCCCCATCGATGAGAATGGGGACGTGTTCGGTCCTCTTCTTTTTCCTGTAGTCCACAATCATCTCCTTTGTCTTGATCACGTTGAGGGAGAGGTTGTTGTCCTGGCACCACACGGCCAGGTCTCTGACCTCCTCCCTATAGGCTGTCTCGTTGTTGTCAGTGATCAGGCCTACCACTGTTGTGTCATCGGCAAACGTAATGATGGTGTTGGAGTCGTGCCTGGCCATGCAGTCATGAGTGAACAGGGACGACAGGAGGGGACTGAGCATGCACCCCTGAGGGGCTCCCGTGTTGAGGATCAGCGTGGTGGATGTGTTGTTACCTACCCTTACCACCTGGGGACGGCCCGTCAGGAAGTCCAGGATCCAGTTGCAGAGGGAGGTGTTTAGTCCCAGGGTCCTTAGCTTAGTGAAGAGCCTTGAGGGCACTATGGTGTTGAACGCTGAGCTGTAGTCAATGAATAGCATTCTCACATAGGTGTTCCTTTTGTCCAGGTGTGAAAGGGCTGTGTGGAGCGCAATACAGATTGCATCATCTGTGGATCTGTTGGGGCGATATGCAAATTGGAGTGGGTCTAGGTTTTCTGGGATAATGGTGTTGATGTGAGCCATGACCAGCCTTTCAAAGCACTTCATGGCTACAGACGTGAGTGCTACGGGTCGGTAGTCATTTAGGCAGGTTACCTTAGTGTTCTTGGGCACAGGGACTATGGTGGTCTGCTTGAAACATGTTGGTATTACAGACTCAGTCAGGGACATTTTGAAAATGTCAGTGAAGACACTTGCCAGTTGGTCAGCGCATGCTCAGAGTACACGTCCTGTTAATCCATCTGGCCCTGCGGCCTTGTGAATGTTGACCTGTTTAAAGGTCTTACTCACATCGGCTACAGAGAGCGTGATCACACAGTTATCTGGAACAGCTGATGCTCTCATGCATGTTTCAGTGTTACTTGCCTCGAAGCGAGCATAGAAGTAATTTAGCTCGTCTGGTAGGCTCGTGTCACTGGGCAGCTCGTGGCTGTGCTTCCCTTTGTAGTCTGTAATAGTTTGCAAGCCCTGCCACATCCGACGAGCATCGGAATCTAGTATTGACGCTTTGCCTGTTTGATGGTTTGTCGGAGGGCATAGTGGGATTTCTTATAAGCTTCCGGGTTAGAGTCCCGCTCCTTAAAAGCGGCAGCTCTACCCCTTAGCTCAGTGCGGATGTTGCCTGTAATCCATGGCTTCTGGTTGGGGTATGTACGTATGGTCACTGTTGGGATGACGTCATCGATGCACTTATTGATGAAGCCAGTGACTAATGTGGTGTACTCCTCAATGCCATCGGAAGAATCCCAGAACATATTCCAGTCTGTGCTAGCAAAACAGTCCTGTAGCTTAGCATCTGCTTCATCTGACCACTTTTTTATTGAGCGAGTCACTGGTGCTTCCTGCTTTAGTTTTTGCTTGTAAGCAAGAATCAGGAGGATAGAATTATGGTCAGATTTTCCAAATGGAGAGCGAGTGAGAGCTTTGTACGTGTTTCTGTGTGTGGAGTAAAGGTGGTCTAGAGTTTTTTTCCCCTCTGGTTGCACATCTAACATGCTGGTAGAAATGAGGTAAAACGGATTTAAGTTTCCCTGCATTAAAGTCCCCGGCCACTAGGAGCGCCGCCTCTGGATGAGCGTTTTCCTGTTTGCTTATGGCCGTATACAGTTCATTGAGTGCGGTCTTAGTGCCAGCATCGGTTTGTGGTGGTAAATAGACAGCTACGAAGAATATAGATGAACACTCTCTTGGTAGATAGTGTGGTCTACAGCTTATCATGAGATACTCTACCTCAGGCGAGCAAATACTCGAGACTTCCTTAGATATCATTGTGACCTGTACGCTCTTGTTGGCTGGCCCTCACTACATATTCGTCGCCAAACAAACTGGCTCCAGGTCATCAATAAATCACTGCTAGGCAAATCCCCGTCTTATCTTAGCTCACTGGTCACCATAGCAACACCCACCCGTAGTCTGCGCTCCAGCAGGTATATCTCACTGGTCATCCCCAAAGCCAACACCTCCTTTGGCCGCCATTCCTTCCAGTTCTCTGCTGCCAATGACTGGAACGAACTGCAAAAATCTCTGAAGCTGGAGACTCTTATCTCCCTCACTAACTTTAAGCATCATTTGTCAGAGCAGCTTACCGATCACTGCACCTGTACACAGCCTTTCTGATATTAGCCCACCCAACTACCTCATCCCCATATTGTTGTTTATTTTGCTAATTTGCACCCCAATATCTCTATTTGCACATCATCTTTTGCATCTATCATTCCAGTATTATACGAAATTGTAACTATTTTGCACTATGGCCTATTTATTGCCTTACCTCCATAACTTACTACATTCGCACACACTGTATATATATTTTCTGTTGTATTTTTGACTTTATGTTTTGTTTACCCCATTTGTAACTCTGTGTTGTTGTTTTTATCGCACTGCTTTGCTTTATCTTGGCCAGGTCGCAGTTGTAAATGAGAACTTGTTCTCAACTGGCTTACCTGGTTAAATAAAGGTGAAATAAAAAAAATACAAATACAAATATCGTGCACCAGCTGTCTT